CTTTCTAACAGCCAGCAGGGGTGACATTTCTGATCTGACTCTATAGAAGTCCATGAGAAAATGACCGTACTTCTCATCTGATTTGTTACCACAGGAAACGTTTTCCTGATAAGTTTATGGTTTCAGTTGTTAGTTTCAAATCTCCTTAAGTATAACATGTTGTTCATTTAGCAAATAATAGCCTCATTTAGAGTAAAAAAAGACAATGAAGCAGGGTATTCTTTAGGCTGTGGCTACGTTGTTATGAAATGAAAAATACTTTATTTATCCCAGAAGGGAAATTCAACTATTGAATTCAATTTTTGATTTAATTTAATTATTCAATTATTGACAGGTTGCTGCTGTATCACTATGCTTCAGTCAGACTCTTTGCTGGTTTCAAAAGAGCAAGACTGTCAAATTCAAGGTGTTAAATATTAGGACACAGCTGATTAGCTTAGCGTAGAACAAAGAGTGAGAAGAAACCTACTGGTACAGTTAAAGCTCATTATATAACCATTTATATCTTGTCTTTTTTTTCCACTCCAGAAACCAAAACGTAAAAACAACAATATGTTATTTACAATAGGTTATGTGTCAGACTATTTTTTGGTATTAGTTGGTCAGACCATAGACGGTACATAGAAGTTGGACACAGCCACTGAAATGTCACCCATTGGTTTGTGGATTGCTGTTTTGAGCCTCAAGTTTAGAAGTTGGTCGTCGCCTTTTTTGTTCTTTTTGAAGGTGGCGTAATAAGCAAGCAGTGCATGTGACTGAGAACTCGAGGTCAGTAGCGACCTGTCAGTGACAAGGCAGCCTCCCTCTAATGCCTACCCGACTGCATTGTCTATTTTATTGTAAATGTGACCATAATCTCCTTTTAGATCTGGAAGCTACATCCATTTGTAATATACATTCTTTGGGTCAGAAATAACAACTTGTTAGAGTCTCTGTTGGTTCCCTTACCACAGTGCAGAATCAAAAAACTGTCTAAAATCTAAGTCATGCTAAGCTAAATGTCTGCTCTTTGCATCCTTACATTTACATCACAAATATGAAACTGGCATCAATACTTTCATTACACTCTTTCATTTAAGCAAATAATATCTTTTAAAATGTCAAGCTTTTCCTTTAAGATGAAATGTTACATAAAAACAGAAAAAAAGGGAAAATATATACAGAGAACTAAAATACAGAGATGACAAGATCCTATGTGACAGGTAGGGAGTAGACCTGAAATGTTTAATCGATTGTCAGCTATTAAATAATCACCAACTACTTTCACTTAAATAAAACAGAAATAATTAAAAGTCTAAACTGTCTGATTCCAGCTTCTAAAATGTGTAGCATTTTCGAGTTTCTCTTTTTTTTGGCAGTAAACTGAATATCTTTGGGAAAAGCTCCCTTCAGAAAAGGATTCAACATTAAAAAAAGCAGTCATTCTGTGGTGTACATTATTATATATGTACTTTTTCCCATTAAATTATTGATCTTTCTTTGCAAAAAACGCTGTGTTGCATAACAGCTGGCCATTCAATGGAGTTTTTTGTTGCAATTTCCTAATTAAAAATATGAATTAATTGAAAAGGCAGTACTGTGAGATGAAATCAGCCATGACTCTGGGTTCTTGGTCACATTTGTGAATGCACTGATAAAAGCTCTCCTCCACAGACTACAGGTGCCACGGTGCCACTCTGCAGAGGTTTAATCCATCGTACTGACGCTGGCTGGAAACACTGCATGGAGAGACTTGGACGAACAGACCTAAACAAACCCAAGGATGCATTTCAGGATAGAGAAGAGCCGGCAAAAGAATCCATTGAAGACCACAACGACAGTTATCTTAATGATGATGAAAATGATCACTTTTATTATTTTAATGGAGTAGTAAAAAGAGTTCATTTTTATCCTTATTACAAGAGACAAAGACTGAGGCGCCGCGCTAACATGGAAGACAGTGTTCCCGCAGAGAGAAAAAGTGGAGACGCTTGTGAAAATTTGCTCAGTTATATCCGCCGTCTTACTTCGAGAAACAAGGTCAGTCACTTCAAACGATTAAACACAGGAGACGATGTGCAGAGACGCACTCATTAACGCATTAAACCCACTGAGTGACTGAAGGGCCTGAACCCTGTGAAAAAAAAGAGGCCAAAAGCAGCTCTGCACATCTCAAGTCACACAGTGTGAAGGAGGAAATACTCAACGGATTAACAAAACCACCAAGTAAATACATTTCTTCTAAGAGTACTCTCTTTACTTAAAATGTGAGACTTAATATTAATCGGTGTGGAATAAACAGTGCAGGGAGAAGCTTCATTAGTTTAAGTGTAAGTTCTCCTTGCACTGTCTATGACCCTGATTGTCAGTTTATTGCCTATTTTAAAACCTTCTACCTCTGAATGTAATTTCTAAACAAATAAAATAAATAGATCTTTTTATTCGATGCACTCAGCTGTACACAAGAAATGTGTAATGGCTGAAATATGTGCTTTAATTTAATTGCCCGACCTTCAGAGAGTAATTACAGCCTATTTAAATCAGCCTTTCTGTTTTGCACAACATCACTAACCCTTATTTTTATCAGAAGTCTTTGTTCAGAGTGACTTTTTGCACTTCAGATGATCCAAACTGCAGCAGCAAGTTCTCACACCAAAACTACACACAGAGAACATATTAGTCCTGTTTTAATGGTTCTTTGTTAGAATTAATCTGAAGTTTTTTTGTTTTTAAGTTTTGCTTTTATTTTAAGAATCTCTTAACAGACTAGCTTTTGTTTGATATGTTGGTTGTTTATGATCATTCTAGATTCAGAGGATTCAGAGGATCAGATTTTTTAAATAAGTTTTCATGTAATTTACTGCTATCAGACTTATTACTTCTACTTGACATTCTTATTGTACTTTGTTCTTTATATTGATGCAAAACACTCTGAGCTGTACTTACTGTGCGAACTGTGTTATCCAAATAAAGTTTTTATTTTTATTTTCACGTGTGACCTCATGTGGCTCTATTTGTTACAGTAATCTGCATATTTTATACTCTCATAAAACTCATCCTTCACACAGATTATTGTTGTTTATTCTGTGCAAAAATACAATCAAAAGTTTATTTGATGGTAATATGATGCCTTAAGAGTCTGTGTTGGTAAACATAACTTATTACATCCAAAATTCTATTTTTGTTAATACAAAATTGTCTCCTCTTGTTTTTATTTTTATTCCTGCAGCTATATATAAGAGCTAATAGCTAATTATAAATATAAATTAATCCTAACTTATAACTTATCATAAACACACCCTGAGGAAACACAAAGAGGAAACGTTGTGCTAAGGACCAGAGCTCTGCAAGGTATTTATCTGATCAGCTCACACTGCTGCAGCCTCACATTAACTTCATGTAAACTCTGGAATGTGTTGTTACTCTGACAAACGCTGGATCTTGTCACCCATCATTTCCACTCAAAAATGCTCTCAGAGAGGATCTTGTAATGTCCGGTATGAAGAGGAAGGATGTCTACAGCAAGAAAAAATGTCAGTGTTTTCATGTTCATGTGGGCATCTGGTCGTTGTTTTAAAGAGACTTTAATGTCCTTTAAATACCCTTTAAAATGGCTGAATTCCAGCTAAGTGATAGCACATGTTGGTTTAGTGCCACAGCTAGATGGAGTGGAGGCAGTGCTGATTTTTATTAGTTGCACCTGTACTTCTACTCTTACGACAAGTCAACACGAGTGCAATAGGAAAGGCCTGCTATCTGCTGCTGGTTGACACAAGTGTGCTGGTGTTCCACTGATTGATTGGTGATGACAGGAGTTAGCAGCAGCAGTTTTAAAGTCTGATATAGACGCATCAATTAGCAATTGCCTTGCCACAACATTAAAACCATTTGCCTAATATTGGGTTGATCATGGAACCTCTGGGGGTTATTAAAGACCCCCTCTGATGAAAAGTTGCAACTACAAACGTCAAGTTGTTTACCTTGTTAACATGTCCATATGGTGTTTTTATTTGGTGGAAGACACAGCATGCGCAAAATAAGCCGTCGACATTCATCTTAAAAAGCCTCGGCTGAATTCAGTCAATATTACAACTCTCCATTGTGTAGAGCAGACTGGTTTTACAGTGTTTGAGCTGAGTTGTAGGCGAGCTGGTGTGCTTCAATTGCAACGAGTGGGAAGAAAGATGCATAGATCTGTACATTCTACAGGTGGAGGTACAGCAAAGCCATTTTAAAGCGCAAAGGGATTGTTTTCACTGAAAAAAACCTTCTAAATATGCAACTTTGATGATCACAGATGGGGCTTAATTAAAAAAAAAAGGGGGGGCTTAAAGGGTTTAATTAATGATCAGAAAAGGAATTAAAAATATCATTAACCTCTTTAAAGGTTATGTCATCATGACCTTATAGTTTATGTAAAATAATTACTCTCACCCTTCTTCCTGTCATCTAAGTTGTTTCATGATTGGATGTGTGTACGTTGTAAATGTAGACAAATTCATACCACTGTATAATTTACATAATGTGTAACAGAAAATGTCCCTTCTGATCTGAGATATTTCTGATTAGTCCAACGTGAAAAAACCTGAGCATTTCAACTAGTGACAATCCTCTTCTTTCATTTGTGTCACATTTCAAAAATAAGAACGACTTCCTTCTTGGGATCCACAGCTGCTTGTCTTGTATGAGGGCTGGAGCTTATTCCAGCTGAGAGATGAGGTAAACACACGGCTCTCCAGTTCATCACACAAAGAGACAAGCAACACACTCACACCTCCTGCCAATTTAGAATCACCAATTGATCTATGCTGCACAGACAGTGGGCAGGTTACCTCAGAACCTTCTTGCCACAGTGTGAAGCACTGAACACTGTGCCGCTCGATCTCGAGATATGACAGATTATATAACAATGAAACAACCTGTTAATATTGTATTAATGTTTAATCTGCACAATCCTGTGAAATTCAGAGGTGACTTGTTTTGTTTTTTTCTGTGAACAAACAATGAAAAGATCACAGTCATTTTAAACAAGAGTATCTGTACAAAACATTTATTTGAAATTTACATAAAAACAGCTTCAATGTATTTGCATCATTTATATCTGAAATCCATGACAAGCAAACAATAACTAAGGGAGGAAATGTTAACGCTGAACAGGAAGGATTTACATGAGTAAAAAGAAGTTAACTGAACAGCTCAGGACTTGAAATATATAAAAACACAGAAAATATTTTTAAAAAAGAAGGAAACAGACGTACACTCACATGATCTGACACACAGAGTAAACAACATGCACTGAAGCCTATTCACTGCTACGCTACGTCAGGAAAGGCCAAGAGGAATTTTTAAAAAGAAAAAAATGTGATCAGTTGAAAAATGGATGTGTTAAAAAAAAGAAGATTAAGGGAGAATGACAGGGGCGTGTAGGTCCCTAGAAATTGATGCAGGCTGTATTTTCATTGTCTGTCAATAGATGGCAGTGCCAGCACTGTAGCATCACTCTTCAGCAACAATATATAACTCTTTCCTTTATACATAAGAGACTGCAGAAAAATGGGCAAAAAAAAAAAGTTCAACAACATCAACAGCAACCACTCTGGCCGATGTTTCTGTTATCCTCAATAACTTCATACCTCACTCTACTTATTTTGGCTTGTTAATAAAGCTGCATATATACAAACACACTTTGTGAGGCCTCTAAGCTCTCTGGACATATACTGTGTATGTACAAGGGAGAGAACTGGGGAAATAAATTTGGGCTTCTTCTTAAATCCAGAAAAGGTTTCCTTCATCTTGTCTGAGTCTAATCAAGACAAAACATTCCGTACCTGCACCCCACGTAACCACTGACATGTACTACTGGTCAGTCGATTCACGAAAATGATCAGACTCCTCGTTTTCGAAGTAACTTTAAGTCCAATTTGAGAGGACACATTCTGCATTAGGCATCACAGAGGCTTCAACACTGTGTAGTGAAACCTGCAATGTGAACAAATGATGACCGCGTGGACCGGAGCGTCGCACTAAAGACAGCGCAGCAAGCAGGAACAGAGTTGAACAAAACACCACAATTACAACTTGAAAGATTTTGATCTCAGTCATTTTGCCCTGTTGACTAACACAGCATGAACACTGTGTGTATGTGTGTGTGTGTGTGTGTGTGTTCCAGGGTGGTTTTGGCAATGGTATAAATAATGAGAGATAATTATTATTCATTAAAATAAATATGTCAATAAATAAAATGACCTTTGAAGTTTTCCAAGTTACAAGGAAACATTTTTACTAAACAATTAACAGCTGTCCCAACAGAAACAGCTGGTGAAATTCCTTCTACAATGTCGTGTGTAACACTGAACATAAACGAGACCGAAAACATTTCTGATGTGACTAGATTGTACAAAATCTACACCATTTCTGAATCACTATGCTCAAGGAACATTATGAAACTGCAATGAAAAAAAAATGACACCTAAATAAATGCATTAGATTATCAAACGGTGTTGAAGAGGTAAAGTTTGTGATTAGTAAAAGTATTTTGCAACAAATGGACAATATTTTCCTACTGTTAGTCAGTAAAAGAATCATGAACCGACATATATGGGGTCAGAGAAGCCTAAATCTACAAAACAACAAATATAGCATGACTGTTGTTTCAAATCCTACATGTGCCTGAGGTCAGTGCATCAAAGAGGCACAGTATTAGTGACATATCTAATGCCACGCCTACAAACCAGTGTATATCTGTCTCCGGGCAGCGTATTACGATCTGGAGAGGGACCAGATGAGTGACACACGGCCAGAGACTTTTAAGTTTTCAGTATTTGGCTGCACGTTGCTTCTCTAGAGCTTAAAACCTGCAGCCATTTCTGCCTGCGAGAGTTGACACCTTCATGTTTTTCTTCTTTTTTAGGAAAACATTGTCATCTTTGGTGGTAATGTTGAATCTGACCACAGAACTTTCTCTCAGTTGTCATTTACTACCGTTCGGCATTTGGCGAGTAGTCAACATCCTCACACCACTGATCAATACAGCTTGACTTTCCCCTTTTTGTTTTTCTTTTTAAAACTACTGGCTTTTGAATACATGGCTGGTCAGCCACAAAGAGGTAAGCCTGTTCATGAGACACAGTGTCCACCGACAGTGTCTATGTGCTTTTAGTTTTTCTTGTCTTGAGTACTTTGTGTTTACTTCCTTTGCAGCGTCAGGGCGTGTCTGCGTGCTTGTAGTAGCCCCTTCTGAGGGCCGCAGAGGCGATGCTCTCGGCCGAGCGTCGCTGGTCCATACTTAGCAAAGCCTCCAGCAGGTCGTTGATGTCGGCTTTTAGTCCCTGCCTCTGCATCCAGTTCTTCAGCAGTTCATACACCTTGTCAGACGAGGGGCCGTTCTCTGCGATGCGAATGTGGTTGTCACTGACTCCAATCATTCTGAAGAACTTGTTGTGGATCCGTACGTCCAGGTACTCGTCGAACAAGTCGAAGCTCTTTCTTAGGGATTTTTCTGATCCTTAAAAACAAAACAAAACAGAGAGCAATAAATACAGAATGAAGAATTCAGACTGTGAAGGCAGAGAGATGCAGTGTGCAGTTGTTGATGCCATTAATCCTCTGAACCCTACAAGCTGCCGGCAGGTTTAAAAGACAAGTCAGCTCAAAGACAGAAGCTGAACTTATACCGTTTATCAAACAAAGACACTGTTAAAACAGTCTAGAGTCTAAAATTATGCCCTTTTATCACTCTATTCTACATATCTCATTCAACTAAAAAGAAACTGTTTACACTAAATACATCCTGTATGCTAACAAGTCTGTGCCTCTCAACACAATGAAGAAGAAACTAGTGAAATGGCGGCAACTGACAGTCATGCAACAAAAACTCTGAAGCGCTGAACTGCAGCAGATAGGAGACAAGTATGAAAACATACTGAAAGCGTAAGTAGCTAAGTTTCTGCAGTGTGTAGAGCCTTTGTTCTTCCACATCTGTGAACAATAATGGTATTAATGTTGATTCCTGTTTTTTTTTTAATGAATAATGAAAGAAACTCAACTTTCGCTTTTTTCATTTTTCTGATTTATGACATTAAAATCTGGTCATACTGCACAGAAACTGCTTTGGGTTCAGAGTTTGGTCATTTCACCAGTTTGTACTCTCTTATAATGGTTAAATAATGGACCGCTGACACTAACTTGTAGCCAAATTAAATTCTATGAGAAACTCATATGTTAACAGCGAATCCATTGTTCTTATATGACTGTAGGAACAGAATAGTGCATTTCAGTACACGTTCCTTCAAGGGTTGGAAACATAAAAGTTTCTGCAGAGGATCAAACAAAGCTGTTAAGCCATGTCCTCTTTAATTGAGCATGAGAAACAAACAACAGCAAAAAAAAGACAGTGTGTTCCTAACCCCTGAAGGCTTGGATATGGCCTGACTATCATGAGATTATGAATCTATCAAGCGGAAATGTGAAATCCTGAAGAGAATTTGTGGCCCTTTATTGCAAATCAAGTGGAATAAAAAAAAAAAAAAAAAAAAAAACATGTCCAGAGGAATGGAAACCTCACCTTGTAGTGGCACCAATCGATGTCGCAGAGGATCATCCTGCAACACAAGACAAAAGACGAGAACAAAGACTTGTGAGGCAAGTTTGAAATGTAAAAACCAACTGCAAACAAATGATCGGAAGATTTGAGGTCACGCAGATGTTTGTCCTTACCATGTCTGCAGCCTGCGGTCTGAAGGCGGTGGGGCTCTGGTGTGGGGTGTTACCAGAGGAAGCTGCAGTGGGCAGGGCTGACAGGCTAGTCTGAGATGAACTAGTAGTGTTGGGCAAACTGTCCCCTAGTCCTCGGTCCTCATCTTCGGGAGAGGAGGCCTTGGTCATCCCAGGCTGGGTCTCCTGCAGCAGAGGCCGTGACTCCGGGCGAGACTCCTCGCCCTCCAGACCTGCGTTTTGGTTATTCTGTCTCTCCTCTGCTGTGGCTCCGTTCTCATCCTAACCAGGAGAAAGGCGGAGGATGAACAACAGTGATGTACCACACATTGTCTAGACTAATTGTGACTACTAACTACTAACAAAACAAATGACAAAAGCCTTTCACGTGACAAATAAGCTAACAAATACTTACAATAGGAATCTTCACAATTTCACTGGAGTCACAGTGGCTCTTCAAACCTGTTTCAAGGCAGGAAAAAAAGCATTAGGAATACATTTAATGATTAAAAAAACATGATTGTGCAGTTACGTGTGTGATATCAACTCACATGGTACTTCACATAAATGCTGCTTGAATATGAACCACCACACAGCCAGGGCAGCAAGGACGATGACGATGATGACGGCCAGTAAAATGCAGACAGGAGTGACTGGAAAAGCATAAATAAATCAGTAAAGACGTGCTATTCAGCTTGAGGGATGACAGTCTTTCATGTTAAGCAGTGGGATGAATGAAAATTACCAATGTCTGCTGCAGAAGTCGGGGACGGCGATGGGAGAGCTGGAGTGGTTTCAGTCGGCGATGGATCCCGTTTTCGACACACTGTGTTGGAAAAGGGCGTGCACTTCTTCACTTCCTCCTCCCCTGATTTACACCTGCGATGTTGAAGAAAAAGAACATTTTTAAGTTACAGTAAAACATACAGAAACAGCAGAAGCCTTGACGTGTGCCCTGTGCGTAACAAGGTAGGAAGTAAGAGTGTGGACGTTGAAGTAATCAGTGTCTTTCTTCAACCTTTCACTAGATTTTGGTTGCTTTACCCAAAGCATACCTGAATCATGGTTTATTTCCCTACGATCAGCCCCTAATCTTAACTATACCGGGGCTGCACAAGCAAGAACTGAAAAAAAACATGGCCATGGGATGTAATCGGGGTTTGGTATTGTTTGTATTTTAACAACTCTGATTCTGCTCAGCGACACCAGGTAAACCCTGCTTTTACATGAATGCATGAGAAAAAATGACAATATAATATATTACACTGCAACACCATATAAAAATCACAGGAGATATGATACTACATAGAATACAATAGAATATTTTTCTCATTATACTGGCATACTGGATTTTTACAGTGTGGTATTAGTACTTTTAGCACGGGAGCTGTCTGCTTTCTCAAGGCAAAAAAGCAACAACAAAATATATTTATAACAGAAATGAATATACTGTAGTTACTATGCGAAGTCCCCACAAAGAGTCTGGAACAAGCCGGATGGGCAGAATAGTTACTGAAAGTCTCTTGAATATTTGATATTTCACTGTAATGATAGCCGTAATCCGTTTTGAGCTGATTGTTTTGAGCTGGTTTGTGCTGTTCGTAACACTGCTAATCAGGCAAATCAGCAATGTGTGAGTAAGTAATGAGTCAGTTAACTGAAAATAACGCTAAAATCACAGTTATGTCATAGATAAATGCAGTAGGACGCAGAAAGACACACCTTCATTCAACTCACATGACTAATGTTACAAACAAATAGTACATACCCAGTATGTGTTGGCAGCTCGTGTGAGTGATATTTGTTAAGGAACCAATAAGCAGAATCTGAATTAAAATCTCTTAATGATTCCTATAGAATTTTGGAACCAGTTCTTCGTGCCGTTGATGTAATACAGGCTCTTACAGAATCAACCTACACCAGTGGTCTTGTTTGCCACTAGGGTAGAGGTGAAAACAACATCAGCTGTAAACAATTTCAGGAAACAGGTAAATGATACTCACTTGGCACAGCGTTTGCAGACTTCACAGGCCTGATCTGGAACACAGAAGGTACCTTGTCTGCACTGGCACCTGGTGTCTGTAGTTGTGGTGCAGGAGTCCGTTACAATCTCATCTGTGGATAGTTAAGAGAAGACATATGGCATCATGTACTTTAAGGACCTCTGCAGTTGTATGAATATCTTGCCACTGTGAAACAGTCACACTAGAGGAGAATCTGTTTAAAATCACAAACCACTAGTTAACTCGCTTTAAAACCTCTGACGAGTTCACAGCTAACTGCATCTAACTTTGTAAAGTGCGTACAGAGTTTAATAAGTAAACTTGTAATAAGCCATCAAAAAGGAGAGAACAATGGTAGACCTTCAGCCAATTTGTAGGTAATCTTCTAAAAAAATGTAAGTTAAGATAATTGGGTTTCCAATTTTATCTCCCTCTTAGATACATTTGGCATCATTTTAACAAGATAACGAGGGATGGAGAATCTAGCAAGGTTCATTTAATAAATTGAGCCTGAAAAAGGCAGTGGCCCTGGACTTTAGGACACGATCAACATTAATAACAAACCAGCAGTCCACCTCCACAGGACGCCCTCTCATATAAATCTAATGTTCACGCTTGCCAATTAAGGAAAAATTGCTTTGTTAGGTTGGCTTGCAAAATGTGAGCACACTATCTTTTTATCTTTTTCCACACTAATTCTCCTACAAGTTTATTCAGACAATTAAGCTCAGTCTATAGCCAGTTAAGAAGTTTTGGAGAGCTCAGTAAAACTGTTTTTTCAGGTATTCCATCCATCTGCAACTTTATGATGTTTTTCATCTAAATGAGGATACGTGTTAAGGCAACTTTTCCAGGTGAGAAGTCCAACTTTGCTCAAGAAACAAAGTGCAATACTTGAAGTTCATGTAGAATTTGGATCTGCAGTACTTTGATGAGAAACTAAGAAAAAAAAAGTCTTTTATTGGGAGAAATTCTGTCTTTTTCTGTCCATATTTTCGAAGCAGAATATTGAGTGAACTTAACTTATCCCAGGAAATGCAAAAAGTTGAAGTTTAGATATAGTAAGGACTCATCATCTTCCCTCTCTTTATATCACTACATGGACTTCTGTGTCATTTTTTGTGTCTAATGATCAGAATGACCCAAATGCAGTTTGATTTAAAAAAAAAAAGAAAGAAAGAAAGAAAGAAAAAAGAAAGAAAATGGCCTGTAGACATCACAGCTGCAACTTAAGCTGCATTCACGTGATGATGACTTGATGGCTTGAGGCAACAACTTTGGTTTGGATTTTAACGATAAGCATTCCACGATTTATCAACAAGTAGACTGTGACTTTAATTTTTTTTTAAACCCCCAGTTTGAACCTCTAATTGTATTGGTGGGTTGAAAGCCATGTGAAAACTAAACTAAACACAACATCTTGCACCATTTTGTACAGCAAGAAACTGTATAAACAAGAGGAATCATCAAACTTTCAGCTTCCTGGCAGTCCTGAACATGTCATGTGTGACATTTGGTTTCACTGGGAAAATGAACTAAGTTTGAAAAATTTAAAAATGTGCCACAAATATACCTTTATGACAAACCAGATCTTGTAAAAAAACAAAAAAACAAAACAAAAAAACAAGTTCTGTGCTCCTCTGCACAACTGGAAAGCAATTACTTATTGGTTGTAACCAACAGTCACATGACAAAACTGAAACACAGGCAGTGTTAACATACAGAAGTAACAGAAAGGAGACAAGTATGGATATAAAATAAATAAAAATGTTTTTCAAGATGCTTTTGAGAAATTTAAAAAAAAAAAAGATGTATGACATTAATCATTTTGTTGATTTGGTTTTTTTTTAACTGCAGAAAAGACACGTAGGGTTCCCTCTCCTTTTAGCCACGGTTGTGCTATTTCAATAGAGTTGTAGGATTTTATAATGCAGTGAACTATGAGCCCACTGTGAGTATAAAAGTGACAAGAGAAAAAAATAGTCTACAAACTGCTCTGGGTTCAGAGGATTACGATATAAATTGTCTTAGGGGTCTTAAAAGACAAGCCAAAAGGCTTTACTATATACACAAAAAGCTTATAGTGTATATTTTGTAGCTGAATAATGACTGAAATGGATTTCAAAACCGAACAAAACTAAACATTCTTGTTTTTTGAGGTTTTCCCCTTTTTTGAGTCTGTACAAATCGTATGGACTCACACAGAAGCCACGACTGAACATAGTAAAGCACTTAACAACCAAGTATTTGAGACAAAAGACTTCACTGTTGTCATTTAAATGAAAAATTAAAGGCAAAATTGAATTACAATTTTTCAATATGGAACAATCTGCGGCTGTTTTTCTCAGTTTTCAGGCAAGGCCCTAAGACCACACTGGGAAAATGTAATTTATTTGATGCTGTTAAAGGCGAATCCTTCCAGCACAGTAGCATCTCTTAACAATTGTAGAGGACAAATATCTGACAAAAACAGAAGGCAGCTGAACAGCTGTGAAAATATGTTCCTTAAAGAAAGAGATATCAAAAATCTTTAGAGTTTGAATGTTTTAACACAATAATACGTTGATATGTTCTCGAAAAGAGGCCTATTGGTACAATAGCAGCTTAACAAACCAGACATGCTGATGACACTGTTCATCGGCATAATGTGCTCCATTTTGTCACATTTGTTTGCAATTCAGTTAATTAAATCAAGTTATAAAGTTTTGTTGTTGTTGTGTGTTATTGTGTTGGTTTATTGCAACAGTGGGGCTCTTTTACGCTTTGTTGACAACACTGTGTTCGCTGCATTCGTCATGCTGTGCTTCAGACGCTCATTTGTTTCATTAAAAATTCCATTTTGAACACAGACTATGAACGCAGCTACAGCTCAGTGTCGTGGCAGCAGTTGATTTGACTATTTTACTGCAACAAAACCTACACAGTTGATGTGGCTGGAGTCACACCAATGTGTCAGGTGGCCGCTGTTACTGGCTAATACTGGCTTCCACAAATATATCAGTACCAGCGTAGATGTTTTCCGATATGCATCGATGTGAAAAAAAAGTTTTTTCATGTACAAATCATAATGCAGAAAAACAAGCCTGGCGTAATTTATAAACTGTGTCATTACATAAGATGTCCAGCGGAGTAGCTTCAACTCTGCTGTTTTTAACTCTCAGCTGTGTCTGCAGCACATGTAGCAGAGTAACTACTACAGCTGAGCAGACAGTGGTGCGGAGTTGAGCGGGGTCTTGATGGTAAGCTAACTAGTATGTGAAAGTTAATTAATGACCACATCCTTGTCTCTTATCAGTGTAACCAACAGACAGACACACAGAGACGCACAACATCTGGTGATATGTTAATATCCGAGATCTCTCAGCCCCTCAAAAAACTGTGTTGGTCGGGCTCTAGAAATGCAGAGAATAAATTGAAAAGCTCTTAAAAAATAGCAGCAATAACAGTCAGTCCTTATCAAACACTTTGGAAGCTGGTGATTGAGGAATATGCTACACATTCTTGATTATGTTATTTTATTTAACTGGCAGGTGCTTTGTGTGAGTCTGTCGCACAAATCAGATTGAAGCATTGGCCCAAAATGACTACGAAGAGCTTTTCTCTATGCTTCCAGTCTGAGCTAAATTATTCACTTAACCTAATCTGACTCATACCTTAAATAAATGATTCATTCAGAATAATCACGGCATAACTTCCAAAGACAACACACAAAACCATGGCTTAAACTTCAAACAACAAAAGCTTCACCTCACACCTTAAATGCATTATTCAATCACCAGAAGACTTGTCAATATGAGATCAGGAACTTCTTAAATGTCCCTGATAAGAGTACAGTTCATTTTAAGTGCAAGTCGTCCATAATGTTTTACATTTTAATTGACATTTCCTTTGGTGTGCTCGTTTTAATTTTTAATTGGTTGTAAATAAGTTAAAAGTAGAGCAGCACACACACACTAAACTGAATCTTAAAACCGCACTGAATGAGCACAAAACACATCCTATGTAACCGTAGTCTCTTTTCTGTAGCTGCTGCCTTTCATTGGACACAAAGACGCCAGTGTGGGAGACAATGAGACACAGCCACACCCAGTTCAGCCAGGTAAGACAGACACACAAGCAAATCTCTCGAGACAAGTAACACGCTCACATTCAGCCCACGAAACAAAACAACAAAGACACACCCTACTACTCCGTGTAACATCATAAGATCACATTTTCATGAGTGGACCTGAAAGGCGGGGGCACAGACAAAAAGGTATTAACTTTCCTAAAACAATACATCTTTGACAAGCTGGATTTTAGAAGACTACACTTTTATGTGATTTTTAAAGGTACCGCATTGAATTAAAGGGCAGTTTGGTTAGGTGTTATTTAATTTTTCTGTCTTTTTAACAATGTAGGCTTTATTGCCAATGTTTACATTTGTCAAAGGCTCAACATGATGTGACACACACTGTAGTTGTCCATGTGCACAGATTTACAGAGCAGCAGTCCCCTGTGGTTCCCTGTGTTTTTATCTTGTCTGTTACATGATCAGCAAAACTGACTTAAAGATTAATCAACAATTGTGATGATTATTTGATTACTTATTCTAACTTTGCTACACAAAAATGGAGACTGAATGTTTCCTATATATACTTTGGGGTTTTTCTTTGTCGTCTGTATGGTAATTTGAACATTTTTGGGTTTTGGACTGTTGACTAGACAAAACAAAACAATTGATCTAATAAACAATTTCTCATGAGCTGTTTGCTGCCATTTATAGTGGAAATAATTGTTCAATAACAAATGGATAAAGAAAATAATCACAAATTGGAACCCTGTTAACATGGTCCAAAAGTTCTGGAAAAAAAACATCCAGACCAGTCATAATTGTTTTCAGAATTGATCTAACAGGAAACTTGCTTCCTCAAATGTTAGTAAATGTTATTTAACATGATAAATATAGTATTCCTTATGCTGGCTTTATTAATACTTTACATAATATTATGATACAGCTGCAAAGGTGCAGAGAGTCTCCTTACCTGAGCGACAGTGGGTACACGGCAAACAGCGGTTCATCCCATTGGAGTGCTCCGTGTAGGTCTGTCCATGCTCACAAGACAGACAGGTGCCCTGCTCTTGGTCTCTTTCACAGGCCTTCTGCACAAAGGTTCCTGCAAATAAAACAAGAGATCAATCAGATGTCAACTCAAGATCATATATAGTCACTCAAATAACTAGAAATTGAAAAAAGTAATAAATAAAAATGTATAAAAAATTATAATTTAAGGACATAAAATAAGACATTGCTTTTGAATTGTGGTTGAAAAGAACAACAACAACAACAAAAAAAAACTGTCCCGGACAAATTCGAGCACGTTGCTGATGAGCAGTGGGCCAAATCCAAATACCTGTCAACAGGTGCAGAAGTCTGATTGAGAGTTACAGAAAACACTTGATTGTTGTGATTGGCTCAAAGGGTTGTTCAACAAAATATTAGTTTATGGGTCCCATCATGCTTGTTTGTTTTTTTATATCACTGTTGAACCGCAATTAAAACACAATGTCATGATTTTTATTAAATTTTTATTTATTATTACTTTTGTCAGTTTCAACTTATTTCAGTGACAGCTGGTTTTTCCTTCTTTAATGGGAGGGTATGAATACATTTGAGGATGACTGTATTCACTTATTAAGTTCATTTATTGAATCTTTCCTTATTTTTCTGCTCAAACAGGATGCAGGAAAATACCACAGCAAAGTGTATTACACACACAAAAACTGGAAAGCAATCAACGGTATCAACGAAGAAGAAAAGTGGAGTTTGAAGTGATTTAAGTGCAGAGGGAGGTTTTATCTATTGGTGCATGATTAACAGTACACAACTGTTTTCCTGGAAGTTAAAGTCCACATTTGACAGGGGCTAGAAGATGAACAGATTCTCTGAACTACACTGTGATCTGACCTACTTTGCTGTTTGATTGTGATGCTTATCGTTTTTCCACTTGATTCACACATGCCAGAAATTAAACCACTTGATTCTCATGTGTTTTTTTTTTTTTTTTTGGATACACAGGATTGATCTGATGCACAAATTAAAAAGACAGTTTAGACTGGGGAAAAGTACAACACAGGTGAAGACATTTGTGGTTGAACTCGATGAGTAAATAAAGTATTGGTGTTGTGGTTGTGTCAGAGAAAGTACAGTCTGTTTTAGCTCATGTTAAGTGCTGGTATAAATTATATTCAAGATAGACTCAGGCAAAAAAAAAAAAAAAAACGCGTCTGCCTGTAAAATAAAACCTCATACTGACAAAAAGAAGCAAAAAGCTAACATTTCATACCGTTAAGTGGCCACAGTGGTTTTTAAATATGTGGTAACAACTGACCAACTGGCAAGAACACAAGAAAACAAAATCACATATGTGGGAAGAACATAAAACCGAAGAGAAACAAAGATATTTCGGGAATGAAGTTACAAGCACACAATGCTGTTCTGGTAATATCTGTTAACTATCGACCATGAATAATAGCTCTTACTGAAAACGAGGATGCCGTAATAGAGAGCCAACACTACATTTGTACAACTTTTGAGTCAAACATACAAACAAAACAGCTTGATAATAGTAATTGTCAAGGTTTTAGAAACGGTCAAATGTCCAAGCAAACAGAATTTGATGAACAGGCATGTATTTTATAAATTACAAATAGGTTAATAAAGTTGGGAATGCACTAGTTATTAATTGTGTACCAAAGACTCAAAACAAAAAAATGGATTGATTAAATATATAAAACAGATTTCTTAGAATTGAAAGTGGCAAATGAAATAACTCAATCAGGTATTAGCAGCAGGCAGTAATTTCATCTAGCTAAATATCATCTGAGATTAAAATAAGTTAACAGCTGAATTAGGGTCTTTACATAACAAACTAACAAACCTGGTGCTTTGACTGACTTGGGACTTGAGAACAACCTCTGCCTCATACTCTTCCCTTTTCATTTCACTTAGTGCTTCACTCTGAGATGGAGCAGCTCGCTCTCTGCTGCTGGCCATCACGCATTCTTTCCAGGCTATGCAGTGAATATTTGCAAAATTTGTTTGGGATACAGCACAGGTTATGGTTCTGACATTTCGCTTGAGTTTTTCACACAAATTACCATTCAACATGTGAGCTTTAGCTTGTGCTTCAGTCTAGCTGTACCAGAAGACATGGACTGGTGTTTAACTATTATTTCTCCGTTTATCAGAGATTAAAATGATGCAGGCATATTTAAAAAGGCCCTGCTTATGCATATGTTTAGTTAATTGACTATGTTGAGCATCTTCCTTACCGGCTTGGCAATTCTGGCAGCAGAGACCCTGGTGGAGGTACTGCTCATTCTCGACACATGTTCTATGTCGTCGAACGGTGAGGTTTCTGTATTCATCGCTGGACCACTGAGGTGCTGGAGGCTCCGCTGCTTGGCAAACAAACCCGATGAAGAGCGCCGCCACCCACACCTGCATCATCAAGGTGAGGGAGACAAAGAGGGAGGCAGACAAGGAGACAAAGAGGGAGAGAAAAAAAAAGAAGCTATGAGCTTTGCTTTGTATTTCCACAGTTTAAAGACGTACCCACTCAAACTCATTAGATAGTGGACAGTAGAGAAGAGAGCCTATCTTCATAGGAAACCTTGTGTGAGCAATCTACGTCTTAATTTGAACCATCTGATCTGAACATCTGCCGTGGGAAAGCAATTAAGGGAGTCATGCAGCCGGTCAGAACTAGAGGCAACACAACCTTGTGTGTGCAGGATGCAGGGCTATACACTAACTGCATGCAACGCAACAGGCGACCAAACTTAATTACTACACGATCTGGCTTTCCTCTAGGAAAGGTTCAGAAAAGGAGAGAATCTGTTTCCTCTACTGTGGGCGTACCAGAGAGTTTGATAAGGTATCTTAGCAGCAGTGCGGTGCCCATATCAAATGTGATTCCAGAAATCCATTCATGTGTTAGATAATAACAGGCTTGTATAGGTGGGGTACAGAGAAGAATATAGCCGAACACTTTAGTGTGGCCCCCAGGCGCTGGTGTTTATTCACACGCTTTTCACCATGTCAACGTGAGAAGGCCCCATTCATTGGCAAACAACACACTTTAGTGCCTCTACTTCAAATGACCCACATTCTTAAAGCCAGGCTCTTTGAATGCCGCGACATGCGACACCACCATGAAGCGCCTCAAACGCAATGGGACACCTCCCGGGTAAATGAGAGTCCCAGATTTGGAGGTTTTGTCTCTCCTGTACACAGCAACCCCCCCCCTTCAACTTCTGCTAGACCAGGAGAGAAAGAAACAGGTTAGGGTGGAGAGGGCCAGGTTGTGAGGAAGAAAGAGAAGGAGTGAGAAACTGTAGACAGCGAGCTAAAGATGGGATGTTCTACAGGGAATAGGCACTCTAAAAGGACAGTGTGGGAGAATAAGTGGAATAAAGACTGAGACCAGATAGACAGAGGTAGAAAAAGAGGGACAGGCTCGAGCGGAGACTGACTCCTGACGCTAGACTTGACTCTCTGGAGGGCCGCCATGCCTTGTTGTTCAAAAGAACTTTCCCCTCTCTCTCCCTCGCTCTCTCTCGCTCTCTGCCTTTTCCCTTCTTCCTCTCCCTCTGCTCACGTCAGACTTTCCAAAGACGCTGAGAGGCAGACGTGGAGGGGCAGACGGCCGGCAGAGCAGTCACAATCACACCATTTAGATTTATCCAAACATTCTGGGGAGGGGGGGAGGCAGAAGAGAGAAGGAAAGGGGAGGGAGATAAAATGAGAGGGGGGACTAACAGCTTGCATGACACAGGGTGAGTCTTTAGACTTGAATACACCATGTGTATGAGAGGAGGGTGGGGGATGTAGAGAGACATGGAACTAGGGAAAGAGTAAGTAGAAGGCCGTGTGAAAAGGCAAGAGAGAAAAATCTGCACATGTGCACAACAAAGCAGTGGAAAGATGTGAAAAAAGACAACTGGGAAAGAGTGAGCCGCACTGAAGGTAATCTAACACTCTCCATAACGCAGACTTGGAATGTGAAACTGCACTGAGGATCCAAAAATATATTTATCCAGCAGTGAGCAGCTAATAGGTCATTACAGCCAATCAAAAGCTAAACATCAGGTGTCTGTTTGGCAGTGAGGACGCAGAGACAGCGCTGAGATTGCATCATTTCCAGGCTTTGTTCATTTCAGGCCCTGTGATTCCAAACACTCCCAGGTGCAGCCACCCTCAGTAGCTAACCTGTTACGCTCTGCAATTAAAGGCTGCTACAAAGAAGATCAAGCAGCATTTTATGAGGAAAAGCAGGGCTGCTGTAATTATTTGCTCAATTAGTCATTTAGCCACATCTTCAAATGCCTTGTTTTTCCCCAACAACTGTCCAAAACCAAATGTATGCCACTTACTGCTATATAAAACACATTAAAGAAGCTACAACTAATCAATTACTCCACTAATTGTTTCAGCTCAAAAGAGAAGAAAAGAGGGATTGTGTTCACAGGAAGACAGAATCATACTTCTCGCTGCGCTAATTAAACACAATCTCTGTCCTTTTTTTAATCCACAATTCTCAGAGTTTGTAGGGAATCCGCCTTTGTGGTATTTCTCAAACACACCATGCTTGCACAGGAGGAAAAGAAACAAGGCCGTGTGTCCACACTAATACCCTTAGGCTGCTAAACTACATTGGCACAAATGTACTGTATACATAAACACTATGGGCAGCCACAATGTGGCTTAGTTTTACCTCTAAACCAAGTGAGGAGGAAGACGGAGTGACCGTAACCTCAGCGTAGAGAGACCTCCAAACCCACAATCCCTGGAAACATTCCAACTTGGGCTGAAGTGGCTCAGTCCACTTCATAGTCTTCTCTATCCTCTGTACAATGACTGGGCTTAGCTGCAGATTATTTGTTAAAACAGTGTCCTATTGTAATACAGCCTGCATGTATAATAAGCTAATACTGTGCTTGTGTGGATGTAAGTTAAACTAATAAAAGTTGCAATAAAATAATGAGGGACTTTCTGTGTATCTGACAACAGTAGCGCCCCTCCGCTTCCTCTAAACACCCAGGGTTCTTCCAAATTGCCTTGGCACAAACTCTACACATGCCATGTACACTGAGAATGCATTTGTGACTAAATGACAGGACATCCTTTCAGTTGACCCAGGTTATCAATGGGCCATTTAGAGGACTGTGATCCCTCCGTATCCCTGAGGGAATTACACTGAGTTCCTTTATTTAAAAAAAAAATGGGCAGAAACAGAAAATACGATGAACTCCTGTGCACACACACACACAACAATGGATACAAGTAGACCACGGGAGGTTCTTCAATTCATATCGGACAGATGATTTCAATCATAACCAACTGATAAGCAAAGACACGATGCACCTCATTATATTCCTTTATCCGGAGCAGGACCTGACTTTCCATATCATGCTTTTCTTATTAGCAAATCCTTTTCTTTCATCAATTGCGAGGCATTATATTGAACACCCATACGACTACTCATACCCCCGACAATACAACTGAGGGGACAAAAAGCTGTGGAGAAGTTCCAACTAAAAACATCACCACTACAGTCACTCACTCATAATACACGGTGAATTCAATCAAGTCACATATGCGTTTTCTCAATGTTCTCATGCCATATGAGGAAAAACCAACCAAGTGTCACTGTGTAATTTAGGTTTAGAGTGTAAACTAAACCGCTCAGTGGCTTGTTGATCTAACAGCAACTTAATCTGTTCATTCACTCACACATGGTCAACAGCTGGAGGCACAGAGTCAACCACCAAGTGAGCTAGCACTGATTGTCAAACTATTACTCCTGTAGTTCTGTCACGTGAAGGAATTTAGCCCTTTTACCTTATTAATATTTAAGGATAGAGAGGAAGATGGAAGGACATGTTTTGCCACAGCTGCTGATTCTTTATAAATGATTTAAACAGTGGTTAAAAGTAACTAAGTGCAAACATTCAGTCAAGTACTGTAGCTAATAACAATTATAATTGTACTTTTCTTGAGCAGTTAGTTTCTTTATATTTCTTCTTCACTACAATTCAGAAGCAAAGTTTGTACTTTTACTCCACCACACGTGTATGAGAACTTTAGTTGCTAGTCACTTTGCAGATTTAGCTTAACAATACAAAATCAACAAATCAATTATAGTGCAATATTACAAATGAAGATGAAAAAAAAAAACTTTCTGGCTCCCTCAGTGGATGAACTATACAACTTGCTGAACACAATAATGTATCAGTAATCCAATATTGTACATAGATATAACAATAATAAGATACAACATGCCATTCTGCAAAATTAGTACGTTTACTTTTGGTTCTTTAAGTATCTTCTAATTCTAAAATTTTGGTCCTTTTACCAAATTTAAATGCATCTCATTTATGTGAGTATTTCTGTGGTATTGCTACTTTTGTTTATGTACAACAGCATTTCTTCCACTTTGAAATATAAACCGCATTTCAGTTCAAATGTCAAGAGCACGGGCCTTCCCCTGACCTTACTTGCTACAACCACAAGAAAGAGTATGTGGCCTACAGCTGCCACTATTCAAAGGCTGACATCATGTCATGTACAAAATGAATCTGATCATCGTCTGTGTCGGTCAGTAAAAAAAAAAAAAAAAGAAGGAAGAAAAAAAAAAAAAAAAAAAGAAGGAAGCAACAACACAGTGTTGTCTAACATTACAATTTTCTGGTTGAGTGACATTTTTACTGGACTCACAATAAATCCTAAATCATCCTGACTAACTGAATACAGAATTGTGTTATGTAGCAGTCACATGGAGAGCGACAACTGTTGATAAATATATCTATTTATCTGCCTACTTTTTCGACTGATTGACTGTTTTTTTGTCAATTTTGTTTTGTTTGACCAAAAGGCCAAAACCCAAAGATATTCATGTTTACTCATACTTGTGTATGTGTGTGTGTGTGTGTGTATATAAAGAAACAAGAGAATGTGTATGTGTTTTTTTTAATGTTTGTGACTAATCTCAACAACTGGCTAATCATTCCAGCTAAGTTACAGCAGACTTCTGTTAAAGCTTTCTGCATGACTGACTTTTTCTTTTTTTTGAACGCCGAAAATAAAAAAAATGATTGGGTCAAGAGTTTAAAGTATTTATCATTATGTACCCATAACTACTGCGCTGTCTTGGTTTAAATATCTTGACTGATGAAACAGATAATTCCTAATTTACGGTGTTACATAGTAGTCAGGCGGCTCTTTGACCTCAAGAAATTCAAATGATGAATTGAATCAGATGTTTACCGAACAACACAGAAGCAAAATAAAATCTTCATAACAGAAGTCTTTTGACATATTATTACTTTATCAAGGAAAATAAAATCTTGGGAATTAGTATATAAAGGAAAAACTAATATCCAAGAATCCAAGCTTCTTGATGCTGGTTAAAGGCTTGTGGGTTTATATATGCACACACA